AGATGTGTGTGGCTTTTAATGTTATTGCCATCAAACAAACATTATTTGCTATTTATTTTGTAAATAGGTATTATTAATAATCAAACCTAATAAAAAACAAGGTAAAAATCAAATTGAGCCAAAAACCTTTACAGGCCTTTTTCCGTGCTGATTGCTATTATAGTTAACATTGTTGGTTACACTGATCTTTCAAAATCTGGCTCTTATTTTTCAAAGATTTGTCTTTCAAAGTAAAACTCCATATTATTTGGTGGCAAAAAGAAATTCTTAAAAAAATATACAATAAATCGCCAATTTGTCACGAGACAATTAAATACATATAATAATATGTCAAGCTGTAAAGATGTACGAGACATTCGTCGAAACGTAATAAATCAATTGAAAGAATTAAAAAGAGTTTGAGTAACGACAGTTATATTGCGCAGTGAGTACCTACGTATTCATTATAAATTATTGAGATAAATTCTCCTATAAGATTTATGAGAGACAGAACACGATACAGAGTTGTTTTTATTATTCTAACAAGACGATTTACTCTTAAATTGAAAACTTTAAATTAATTTGCTACTTACGCCATCATCGGAACTCTACAATTTGGTTTACCTTACTTCTGAGATACTTCATCAGTCATCGCAGTTATTAATGAACAAGAGCAGGTATATTTATTAAAAGAAGGTCACATTTCAGACTCGAAACAATTTAAAATCGAAAAAGTACTCGCTGATTGCTATAGCAACCATTTCTCAAGCAAACCTCCTTGCTTGTCAAATGGATACTTAGAATTAACGAGCATGATTTCAAAATAGGTGTTCCCAAGGTCAAATCTAAGAGATTACGGATTTGAGTGTAGGCACAACTATGACGATCATTGTTTCTTATACAAACATTAATTAATGTGTAATTGTAGGTGTGTATACAAACAACTATAATTAAAACATAAGACAATGGTATGATTTGTAACAAGTTTATGATTTATAGCGTTTTTTGGGAGTTCAAAGCTCAGTGATTCACTGATTAATTTAGTTTTTTATAGTAAAGTTACAATTATATTAGACAGGATGCATAACGCATAATTCGGTTGTATGAGATATAAATTGGATTTCTTATTACAAATCCAAACTAATATTATAAATGCGGAAGTAACTCTGCCTGTCTGTCTTTTCTTCACACCTAATCTTGGAGACATAGTTTGGAAATCGAAAAAGGACATAGGATAGTTTTTAAAAAAAATCTGCATCCAGTCACTATTTGATTCGAACAAAGTCGCGTGCAAAAGCTAGTATAACAATAAAAACAAACACCAGCCGAACTAAAACCTTGACCAGAGAAGTGGCGATGCTTAGTCGCACAACCAAAACAAAATTTTATAATAATATGTCACATTTATTCCCAAGATGAAATATTTCGCAATTACTCATTTTCCTTAGAATCGACAACACTGACAAATCTCCGGAGGCTTCTTTTAAATAGTACCTATGCATGTACGCCTTAGGGCTTTAAAGACTTACAAGCAACCATAGAAGTATTATAATGACATGATCTATTGTTTTAAATGATACCACTTATTTGTAAATATACATATAGTTATTTCATGTACTTATGACAAAGTAACAGGGAATATTGCAGATAACGCAAGTATAGAATGATTAAAAACTACAACAGCGCCATCTACACATCGGTGAGAACTGATGACAAAAATAAACGTATATAATTTTTTCATTTAAATTTCAGTTTAAAATCCCGAAAAAATACTTCACTTTAGATTATTAATGCAACTTCAATATCATATTATTATGTATTGTATTCTACTAGTTAAAATTGAAAAGTGATTAAAGAAACATTCGTCTTTAATGTTAGTTAGAATAAATTAGTATCTTTTAGCTATGTCATTCTTATGGGCATTAGTGTGGCATTGTACTTAATTGACTTAGATTGAATTTATAAGGAAAACCTATAGACACATGATTTGCTATTATTCCTTTGTTTGTTGTGTTTGAAGTCAAGGACTTTAGTATCAATTAAGTAAAGTCAAAGCCAAAAACATATATTCCCTATTTATAAACCTTATTCAGGTGATTTTGAAATGACAAAGAGAATAATAGTCCGTTACATTGTTAGTCAGTTAAGCTAGGTGCTGGTTCATACTTATATTATAAATGCGAAAGTAAATCTATCTGGCTCTCTGTCAATCTTTTCTTCACGCCTAAACTACTCAACAGATTTCTGTGAAATTTGGTACAGAAATAATTTGTAACTCGAGAAAGGACACAAGATAGCTTTTATACCAAAACATAGTATTCTAGATATAATATGTATTTTGAGGTATAGTCAATTTAAAAGTCATCAATGTTATGACATCATTTTATTCAATTGGACAGATCCTATTTGAGAACCACAACAATCGAAATCTAAATTAGATACTTGCAAAAACTTCAAAATATTTCATCTTTAATTTGAATAATATGTGTTTTCAAACGTCTACTAAGTACCTCTGTGACTATAACTTCCCTCTTGACATTGTTAATTCAAAGAATTGACAGTCAGTACGTACATCCTTAATTTGAGGTTTTGGGTTTTATACAGATACCTGCCTGATATTGAGAGCAAAAAACACTCATTCTATTGTCGTTAAAAAACACCAAATTAACAAAATCATGTGAATTTTTGCGGACCTTTTTCCAAAGAGGACAAGACACGCTCATATTTTTTCATGTTCATGTAAAAATAAATTATTCTTTCTACTCAATTGTAATACTATCTCATCTAACAAATGAATTTAAGACCGAATTGATCCGATGCGACCGAAAAAACCGATCAAGAACAGATCACCAAAGCAATCAATAAATCCAAACTATACTACACCACCGAACCACTTAACAACGATTACACAACAGAAACTTCAATAAAATTTTAAAATAAAAGCATTCAATATCGCGAATCTTTAGTTTCTACGCTAGACGTGAGAGTGCACAAACAATAAAATTTCGCTGCCACGAAGTAGCCAACACAATAGAAGCCAGTCAATACTACAAGTATAAAAAACAGAGAGTACTATTTTAAACTCTTATGTAAGAGTGAACCAACAATGCTTTTGTTTTCCTAACGAAATACTGAACGTGTTTCGTTAACTACATTTGATAAATGAAGGGCTGTTAATGAGATCTTCGCATGCGTGTGGCAAGGCACTTTGGGCAATTCTCAAAGAAGTTAGGTCGGCCATTTTCGGATTGTTTCGGTAAAGTTCGGAGTGTGTATTTATTTATTTAAAACTTGAAGTATATAAAAACATGTACAGGCAGACTATGTCTTAGGCAATCTCTACCTTAAGGTAATGACAAATAATGTCGAGAACGGTAAGTTATGTGCCTGGGCATGGCTGAAAACACAATCGTTTGAGACCATGTACAGATTTATATCAAGACCGGCGATGCCAAGTTAGAAAGAGAAAGCATGGTAAGAAAAGGATAAACGATGATTCTCGTTCGAACAGACTGAGGTCAATTTTGATTAATGTTATCGATTTGCTAATCACTTGAGCCATAGACAGGTGATCTAATTGAATTTATTACAATACTATTTCTTGAGCACTATTCGTGACTGCAGTCTTGAAGCGCGTCAATAAATCACAAACAAACATAATAACCGTACGTTAAGTAATCTTAATGGTTCAACGAATCTTTGGACTGCAGCGATGCGCGTGCGCAAGACAGTGCACAAAAACACAATCTGTTCAATCTTCGTTCTAGGAAAACTTGAGGCTCAATAACTGTTTAAAATTCTCGATTTAATTGTATCGATTATCGGTTAAATATCGATTTGTAGACATTTGCTTAGTGAAGTGTATTGGGATCATCACGTGTTGATGTTAATTTGTGTTTTAATTTCATTTACAAGTGGAGAGATGTATCAATTATGATAGTTTACGAGAGTTATGACTGCACGGTTGGTGCGGTGGCCGGGCAACTGACTGCCGTGCAACGTGTCGCGGGTTCGACTCCTGCACGGAACTACTCTTTGTGTGATCCACGAATTGTTGTTCCGGGTCTGGGTGTCATGTGTATGTGGAATTGTATGTTTGTAACTGCACCTACAACACAGGAGAAAATCCTAATGTGGGGCAATGTTTTTTTTTTCAAAAAAAATTGGTTCATCGACGTTAAGTTTTATCCACGTCCACATTTCTGGTAAAGTAAAGTGACAGTTTGAAGTTTTCCATGAATTCATCTACTAAAAGAATGTTTTAAATGGTCTATACTGTCTTTCATTTTGTTTTAGAATGTGCCATGGGCTGCAATTTCAAAAAGCCTCATCTACTATAGTCTTCTTTCACACTGCCATCATGAATGTTTCATCATCACTGATTTAATTCCATTGGATAACATTGGTTATTTTACGTAAATTTACATGCCTTGATTACGCCGCATAGATACCTGTTATGCATCTAATCATGTATACTCGGTTGGCTAACACCAATCTCATTCATGTTACGAAAACTAAACAGACTGCATATTATGCAAAGGAAAAGGTTCTAGTTGTAACTTTAAGTCAATAATGTACAAGTTGGCACATTATTCATAATATTTTATGTCTTCGAAAAGCTTATAATTGACTTATTACTAACTAACTTTAATCTATGTCATACTTCATGAGGCCCGCCGCCATCTTGAGAGACATCGCATTTTTTTTTTGGAAACTTTTATCCTATTTCTTATTTATATTTTGTACCAATATTTTTCTTTCGTTTCTAAGTATATGAGGATTTTTTTTATTTAGTATCTTTGTATTTTTTTATTTATTTAGAGGTGTTTTTTTTTTAATTCTAGGCTGTAAGTAAATAGATTAAATTATATTTACTGGAATATTAGATTGACTACTTACCTTTAATTTATTAGTTGTGACTGTTAAATGAAATCGAATTGTTAACTATAGGTATGCTTTAATTAACCTATGACCAGAACTTCTCCTTAAAACAGAAAAGAAATAGAATAAAAAAAACTTACATAATCAGCTAAGCTCTTCATGCCGTACGGAAACCGTTCCCGGTCGGGCACGAGTCGGCCCCGAGCGTCACGTTCCCGTTCCGGCCAGCAGTCGTCCACGTTGATGTACTCGTAGCCAACGGCCGCATAGCCTTCCGACACCAGTATATCCGTCATCGTCCGGAACAGACGATCACTGTGGATAATTTGATAGTTATCATCACCTTCTTTTTATCGTTTTTGTTTTTGTTTAAGGGCTTCTATCAAAGCTTTCACCCGCGGCTTAGCTTCCTTACCCTACCTACCCTACCCTACCAACTTTACCCTATCTTAGGATTTTCTTCTTGTTCTAAACTACATCCTCACCAATTCTCAACGAAATTTCAGCCGTTCTTGAGCAAATATATAGTGTAATATGTAGGTAATGTTAGTTACAATATTATACCTAAACAGTGAAACTAACCAATGGCAAAGTCGCAATGATTTTTATACATATATACATATACATATATGATTAAAACTTTATCAACAATATAGATTCATATTATAATCTCTCAATCTACAGGATATTAAACACAAATTGATGACGGAAAACATAACTTGAGTACCTTTAAACAATACAGTATCCGCTATAGTAAAGGAAATAATATATCAATAGTTAGATAATATTGTATCTCTTATTAATCGTTAACAAGATAAATTAATATATCGAGAAGTGTCAATGATGAATATAAAGGCATACATAATTCACTGTTTTGCGGGTGCAGACGCCATAATGTTCCGCGACCCCGGCATGGAGCAGAAGAAGGAAGGGGGTGAGTTTTAGTCAGTAAGAGTCTGACAATTCGAGCGAAATTATTTTGATGATTAATCTCTTTAAAAAATGGTCTTCAATCTTGTCTTTGCCTAGAATCACTTACACCTATGGTTTGTTAGGATCGAGATTGGGAAAGCGTCTTAATAATAGCGTTATTAAGACGCTTTTGAGATTTTGTCAAACGAAAATATTCCTAAGAACCATTGCGGTTTTTAAGAATGGAGATTTTTAATGGTAAAAATTAATTGCTTCCTTTGACATAAGTTTAATTCGATCTTTTATCGCGATTTTTATTGAATAACACTTTCATCCAAAATAGATATTCTGTATTAAATTAGTAATTTCTTATTTTCATTCCGCGGACTGTATTTTGACTTCTACCTAATAACACTATCTCTAGTTAATGTCTCCTTGCACCCACTTGATCTACTTAAAATCACAGTACCCAGTTATTGTAAATACTACAGGAGTATTGGTATACCCTTTGATGGTAACTGCGAATAGTATAAGCAGTATTTGTGTGGAATATTCGCGTAACACACATATATTCTTAAAGTCGATGCATAGGCCACAAATAACGAAAGCATATTATAATTACTATATCATCCTATACGTATACTATAAGGTTATCTATAAAATAAATACCAATATTATTAATTATTATGAGTCGGTTTGTTGATAAGTTTCTTATTATTTCCGGAGAAGTTCAAGGTTACTTCCTGGATATACATACTTGACCTAAACAATATGATTCAATGCATTCAAAGTAGAGTTTCTTTATCAAAATACTAAAAGGGAGACTGGATACAGAGAACTAGCTCAAATCAGAAAACAGGAACAATTTGTATTACGCATTAATCGCACAGATTTCTGTAGGAGAAAAATGTTCCAAAAACGATTACTAAGTACTGAAAGTCTTTATGTTTTAGATTCACTTAGGGCTCATTTTTCAAAAGTCAGATGAATGTTATCTAAGGAATAAAATTGTTGCTGTCACTGTCTTATACAAACATTCTGACGCGACAGCATCATAATTATTCCTCAGGTAACTTTTATCTTACTATTGAAAAATCAGCCCTTAAGCTAGAGTTCGGATAGAAAAAAATGCCACTCACCTGATACAATTATCAGGATCATTCTTGCAGTCGGTGTTGCATCTAAAACGCTCCCACGCGAGCCAACCCATTGGCGGCGTCAACGCGAGCCCATTGTCCAGTCCCGAGATCTTGCCCAGCAGGCATAAAACCACACACACTGTCCACAAACTAATAGACTTCCACAACGCCATCACACCAATAAAAAAGAACAAACTTTTAATACAAATACTATCTACTTTCGGAACTTATCCGCATAGTTTCACTGTCCGATTTTGTACGAACAAAAATTACCACAAATACGAGTGATCGGTTTAAATGTCAATTGTCAATTGACAAGACAAACTGTAGGTTATCTTAGGAAGGAGGTCGGTGCGATGAGGTGCCTTCAGTCTCCTGTTCTCCTTGCAGCGTGATTATCTGTAACAAAAATAATTTAAAGTTATTACAATGTTTATTATTATTTTATTCATAACGACCTCTAGTCTTGATTAAGAATGCATCCAACGAAAAATAATACGATAAGAATCAGTATAACACGCGTATAAAATATATCATGTTGATAATTCCAGTTGAATTGCAGTATTAATATCTATAATATAGGTAACAAATCTGTAGAGAGGTCAATTCTGTACATGAAATATATTTTCAAAAATAACTATCAGGGGGTGATTAGTGATCGATACTCATGCCGAAATGCAATCAGTAAAATTTTTGTTCGTCTGTCTGTCTGTCGATTTTGTTCATTGCTATTATGCTGTGAAATAAAAACAACTGAACTAATATTATAAACGCGAAAATTGGTTAGTAGGTATCTGAATGAAATTTGGCATTGATATTAAAGGTCTGGAAAAACACATACACAAGGCTACTCTTTACCCTGGTGCTACAGGTGAAGCCGGTGACAAAAGCTAGTAACGCAATATAAGACTAGTTATAAATACGCGTGCTCATTTGAGAACGGTCAAAAATACCATTCTCGCTACAAATTATGCACATTTACTTCATCTTTGCATAAATAAGCAATTTAATATCAACGGACAACGCACACCGTTAGCATACTTAAACCCGTTCTACTTTTCTTAAACGTTTTTGTTTTGAATTAAATTTTATTATAATTCTTCAACTACGTATGTTATATCTTAAACCTCAAATTTTTGCCAAAAGCGAGCGACATTTTAAGGATTTTTTTATAAAATCGCAACATAATAATTATGATGTCATTATTTTTTGTACGTCAAATGGAATATGAATTTCATTTTTTTGTTTCCTACAATAAAATGTAAAGTGAAAGATAAAATTATATTTTAACAATTAATTACATTGAAAAGTCGAGACAATTTACTTTTGATTAAGACAACTGTACAATTCTAACCAACCTTCAAGGCAATGCCTTTCTTAGGTATGTTTTTTTTAACATATACACATTTTTATAGGGGCAATCAAAACATTGAAGAGCTAATGGATGCTAGTGGCGAGTTTTTTCCGGCTCATGATGAATCAAGATATTGTCTAATTAACATCCAAACATAGATTTTATAGTTCAAACAAATGTTTAATATCCAAAATGAATAAGTTGTAGTAATTATAGTTTCTTAATACTACCTACACAAGAAAATTTTACAAATAGAGAAACAGCCACTTTTATTACTTCTCCAAAAATCAAGCCTAATTCAGATCAGATTGTAAAACATTGTATTTTTAAAAGAGCTACTATGGAGTTTCTCGCTTCTTCATCCGTTTGAATCTTACTGCTACTTTATTGCACCGACCATATTCTCACTGCAACACCCAAAGGTTGGCTAGCAAGAATGCCTGTAGCCATTAAGCCCACCCATGTACTTTGTGCATAAAGTTAAATAAAAAAATAAAATGAAAAGAATCTTAATTTAGGAGCACATAAGTTTTCTGATAGGCAGACTTACTATTACTTTATTAACTTCAATTTGAGATGAATGGAAAATGTAAGCCAACAACTGAATCAACAAACAACAGCATTAAATATCATTAAAAATACTGATGACAATTGTACAATAGGAACATGACCCAAATAAAGGTCACAGGATCATTAATACAATGTAGGTACATAAGTACATTATCAAGTCATCATCATAGAAAATTAAATACTAGCATACTAGTAGTTAGCGTACATGTACATATGATTATGTCATATCTAGCATCTTGGAATCGACACAGATCTGTTATTAAAGAATTATAGACTATAAGTCTAATGTTAATTAGGTAAGGAGTGTGATATTGAAATTAATAATGATGGACTAGTAGGTCAAGGGATTATTCTGCTTTTTACATAAGACAATATAATAATGTATATATAATTATCTGACATTATTATTTACGTTTTCCTACTTGGCTGTAGGCCGTGAGACATTGACATTTTTTTTAGTATTATTAGGCGCCGAATAGGGACGACTCCTGGGTTAAAACAACGAAGACTCTAATTAGTCCGTCAGTTGGATTATAGAAAAATACTCGATACGTATTTTTTTATTTGTCCATACGAATAATATTGACAAAGATACAGCACATTCAAATTCGGGAGAAGGGGCTCGTGACGTCACTCTTTCGTAAAAAAATTTACGAAATAATGACGTAGCGCGAACTTTCGTCGCTATGTAACTTTGTTATTTTAAGTTTTAGAAGCAAAAGAAAAAATACGTATCTACTATTTTCGGGCGTTCTAAAAGATGGACTTATTATTATTTTTTAGTCATCCCTATTATGGTAAGCAATCAGCGCCGCCCATAGACACCTACAACACGAGATAAGTCACAAGCGCATGCTGCCGTTCTGAACGTTGCTGACGAAATACAGCGTATTCGTTGTTTCACGCCTGTTTTTCGTAAGCCCATTATTTTATACCAGTCGAGCTAGCCCATTTGTACCGAAGCGTAGCTCTCTCACACTACACAGTAGGCACCTATCTAGATCAATTATTATTTGCGAGATGTTTTTTTTTTAAACTAAGAAAAATTAGAGGTATAAAATATTAAAGTATGTAATTAAATGTATAACATTAAAATATAGTTGTAACAAGTGAAAAAAATGCGAATGTTAAGTGTATAAATAACAATTTATTACGACTTTTCTTCCACAGCCAAAATGAAGAGAACATTCAATTATATAGCGTATCCTATATGTACACACATATGTATATGATGATGTATGAGTTTCAATTCCTATAATTAATTGAATATGCAAATAACGAGGTCAATAAACAATAATAATATATGTCTAGAATAAGCTCTGTAATATAATAATTGTGCAGTAACTAAATATTACAATTTACGAAGATGAAAAAAATATTTTTGAAGTCAAGGCATTTTAATATTTAAACTAAACGACATAAGGCACTTTTAAAACTAAAGATTGAATCTTTAATTTATTTAAAGACGATTTTCGCGTAAAATAATAAATAATTAAATAAAAATCTAATTTTTAAATAAAGAAAATCAGAAAATGTTATAAAAAAAAAACGATGTTTGGTTTGGACTACAGTCTTAAATGCAAAACATCCTATAACTTTACAAATCAAAAACGATAATGCAATCTATGCTCTAAAATATAAATTACAAAATCGTATAACCACATACCGTTGCACAGAACAGAACAGGTGACACCACGACAACTTCCCAAGAAACACTGAGCAGAATATTACACAAATCTTTTAAATTATCATTCGATCATAAGGTCGCTGAACTAATAACTCGTTTTTATTTTATACAAAATTATCGGATAACTTTGATTTTTATTATCATAAGGTTTTTGAACTGATTTAAACCGTTATTCCGTAGATTTAAATCCTATTTTCGATTATTAATTTGTTGATAAATAAGGTTGAGACCGTTTTTCTTACAATTAATAAGTTTATAAGGTTTTTATAACTAGTTTTTAGACCAGTGTGTGATAGGATGCTTATTTTAATTTTTCCCAGCGTTCTTTTTTATTTAATAAATTCGCATACCTAATTTCGATAAATGTCATTGATACCGATTCCGTAACGGTTTTATTTAGAAAAATATTAAATTAAAGAAAGAACTTGTTCCAATTCGAATTTCAAACGGACAAAGCATTATAACGAACGCAACGCTACCACCGAAAACATAGCCATGACGTCATTTATTTGTTTATAAAAGTCACGTGATACCTGTCGACAAAAAAAAATGTCTACTCACGTGCCCCACGACCACTTATGAATCAGTCCATAGTATTGTAAACGGTAAGAAAAAAATAAACATGATAGAAAATTGCTGTAAAAAAATATAATCAATCTGAAAGAATAACCAGAACAAATTATAGATTATTATCTTAGCTCGGAGACATGCGATGTTAGCAGCTTACGACTTGATATCCTTTATAATCATATCAATGCGCGTCGATAACGTGATAAGTAGTATTTCTACGTGATTAACGCTTAGTGCTTAGAGGGAGAGCGGGGTAGTACGGCGGTTAAGGGGCCTTCTCGCATGCATTGAGACACGGGTTCGAAACCCAATAGTCCCAATGTGACTTTTCAAGTTATATGTAGTTCTAAGTTATTTAGACACCACTGACAAAAGATGAAAAAAAAACATTGTTAGCAAACCAGGACTCATAATTTCTAATTAAAGTTCAAAATCGCCAATCCACTTTAAGCTAGCGTAGTGAATAATACTCAAACGGTCTCCATTTGAGAAGAGGTCTTTACTCAGCAGTGGGACCCTTCTTGGTTATTTATAAGATGAGAGGAGAAGTCGTAATTACTTATACGTAGTCTTTGATTTCTTAAAAGTTATGATTTCATCCTCACCTTAACACTTTAACAGCTAATCTAACTAAGTAACGTACTTATTAGGCACTCAGAAGTTTTACCGTACCTATTCTCTGTCCTTTCATTTCATACTATATTCATCAATAGGTTTTTAGTTTTTATTAAGTGTGGGAGAGCCATACAAGTGTGGGAGAGCCATGCTTCGGCACGAATGGGTCGGCTCGACCGGAGTGATACCACGGCCTCACAGAAAAACGGCGTGAAACAACACAGTGTTGTGTTTCGCCGTGTGAGTGAGGTTACCGGAGGCCCAATCTTTCCCCTTCCCTAATCCCTCCCCAGTTCCTAAATCTCCAAATCCCTATATCTCTAAAAGTTCGGCAACGCACTCGTAACTCCTCCATTGCGGGTGTCCATGGGCGGCGCTGATTGCTTACCATCATGTAATCCGTCTGCTCGTTTGCCGACCTATTACAATAAATAAAAAAAAGAATCCAATAATTGTTAAGCACATTAAAAATTTTTCAACGTCTTCTTTGATTGTTGCTTGCTTTTTCTTGCTTGCTTGCATTGTTCTTGCTTGCTTAGGTTGACAAAAAGTACATACCTATTGTAATTTTTTTGTCAGCGTTAGTCATTTCATTGTTATTTTTTATATCAGAAGCAATAAACAGGAAAAAACAAACAAGGATTTCCTTTAATACTGACAAAACCATTGGAGAAAAGTGTTACCCCTATATTTGTCCCTTTTAACCTTTTCATCGTGGTTATTCCAGACACGATAATAAGAAATTAGGTGAAGAATAGTTATCAAGGTATTATTAATATCATCATCAATATCAAAGAAAATAAAAGATATCATGACAAAATGTTATTTAAACCACAATAACAGCAATTAAAGGATAATAAAGTAGCCATTATTGCAACGACTGAGGATGTAATGTGAAAATTATTTTTAATTAGTAGCGTATAACAACATAGTATTACGTTTTATTGCCGTTTTAAATTGCCAATCGCATCTGAATCCTCTAAAGATGTTCTTTAGCGAAATAACAGCATTTCAGTTTTTGAATAGTATAATATCGTGATGCATCGGCTTTGGTATTGTCTTACACAATTTTCGTAGGCGCGTCGCGCACGTTGCTTATTAATAAGAGCCCCGTTGTGACTTGAAACTAGTAGAGCTTTCCTTAGTTAATCCACGCTAATAAATCGTTGTTTCCAATAAGATTGGTGTACAGCAATTTGAATTTATTTTAATTAAATAATCATGATTAGCTTTTATACTTTCATTATTGAAGAAGGGCTTGTCTCTTTGAAGGGCATTCGATAAAATTTCTAAAGTTAAGGAGGTTAGGTTCCTGTTTTAATAATAGCTCTTGCCTATCATTTGTTTTTTTTCTAGGATGAACCCTGAACTACTAATATATAATGTTGGTTGTTTATAACTATAGTTCAGGGTTCCAACAATAGTCTTAGTTCACAATGACTTTGAGTCAACACTTTGACGTTGACAATAAAAACAATAAGAAAGTTAAACATGTTATTAAGTAATTTTTCTTGACAAAGATAAACATTCCGTTAAGATAAATCAACTTTACTGTCACACTTATCCGTATTTTTATCAATCATAAAAGTTTTTAAGTTCAATTTATTCACACCTTAATTTTATTTTTCATTAAATGAACACCAATCAAGTGCTAAATTTCAATCCGTTTCTCAATTAGTTACACTGAAATTAGTGCTATAAAATTGTTAATTAATTTTAGTTTTGGTACGTGCTTATTTCTTAATTGAATTAAAGTTCTTGAGCTTCATATACTGTTTTAAGCATTACAATCGTCATTAATCTTATTTCAAGGAGATTGGCAGTTCTCTTTGAAGTACACTAACTTTATTTTCTGTGTTACACTATGAGCAGATGTGTTGTGTGAGCTTAGTGGCAAGTGAGAGTTTCCTCCTTGAGACCAGCTACTCAAATTAAAATTGCCTGAAGATTGGAAATTTTGCAACTCCAGAATTTCTTTATCCGTGGGAGAACTAAGCTTTGGCACGAATGGGTCGGCTCGACCGCAGTGATACCACGGCCACATAGAAAATGGGCGTGAAACAACCACAGTGTTTTGTTTCGCCGTTCGAGTGAGTGTACCGAACGGAGGCCCAATCCTTCCTCTCCCCCAATCCCTAAATCTCCAAATCCCTAATCCCCAAAAGGTCGGCAACGCACTAGTGCACTAGCACTCTCTATTGTTCCGGGTGTACATGTGTACCATCAGGTAATCCGTCTGCTCGTTAGCCGACCTATCACATAAAAAACATCATAACTGAGAAGACTTTATACTAAACCTATTCAAGTGGTACTTATATAATAATGATGCAGATTGAAAAAAATATCTTTGTATAATTTTGTTAAGGAACATAATACGGTAGGAACACATTAGTACTCGTATGAGTTCCTATTAAGCATTAAGCAATTTTGTATTTAATTTCTTTATTGTTATGAAGTTGTATGGCACATTATTAATTGTACTTTCCTATTATAATTGTAAGGAACTAGTTGTATTGTTAAAACTTTCACTACATAAGCACGTTAAAAATCTTTGTTTTATAAATACTAGGAGGAACTTGGTCTGTTTGCAATGTATTCATTTAATGAAAGCAGGAGAAGAAACGGGGTGTTTTAGTCAGTAAGACCCTGACAGTCCCTCTGGCCTTGGAGAAGACATTGGATGGTTTTTCCTTCACCAAAAAGGTATACGTATATTTAAGTAGGAAACTGAACCTTGTATTAAATTTGGAAGCGACAATTTTGAATAACATAACTAGATTTTAGTTATTTTAACAAATAAAATAAAATAACAGTATTATTTCTTGACATATACAGTTACAGTTACAGTCTTAATAAATTACACTATAAAATATATTAGAACTAGCTTTTGCCCGCGACTCCGTTCGCGTGGAATAGTTACTTCCGGCAAGTTTTTGGTATAAAAACTATCCTATGTCCTTTCTCGAGTTCCAAACTATGTGTGTACCAAATATCACAGAAATCGTTCAGTAGTTTAGGCGTGAAGAAAAGACAGACAGAAAGACAAACCGATTTACTTTCGCATTTATCTATATATAGTTTAGATAGAATTGTAGAAACCAATTGTCTATTCTACAACCTTGAAACTCCTACAATTAAAAGATACCAACACGAATTCCTGAGACGATTCGATACATTCAAAAATATGCATAAATCAATATGAATGTAGCAACGCAACGATCGATTGGACAAATACTTAATTGCTCTATTTTGCAGTGTGCAACGAACTTGCAACGGTTGCAAAATAATTGCAGTTGTGAGGCGGAGCCGTTGCTACACACTTAATAGTTGCTTTTAGATTCAAACGAAGCTTCCGACAGTTTAGCATAATTATTATTTTTTGAATGAAATACTTTTTTTATTTGATACAGTGCTAACAAGTTTAATTGATTTATATGGGGTCGTAAATGCTAATATTGAGTTAAAAGTCAGTTTCATCTTGCATACACCCTTTTAGTATAGTCAGGGATTAAATTAATACAATTGTAAAATCAAAAACAAATGTCAAACAATAGGATTTTTTAGGGAGTAAAATCATCCGATATCTTCTCTCGCCCAGGGTGAGGCGGGAGAAAATGTCAGGCTCTTAATTACTGACTTCAAACTACCCCGTTCCTTCTCCTGCTCCAAGCCGGGGCCATGGTGCATACCATGGGCATGGTAAACCATATACTCCATAGCCTTAGAAAGAAAAAACTAACATATATCAAATCTATACCTATGGTAGTTGTGCAAAATAATAAAAAACTTGATCACTATTACAGTGCGAAATTTGATACAAACAGTACACAGAAATA